GGGGCTCGAACTCACGGACCGCGAGATCGTGACCTGGCTGAAGTCGGACGCTTAACCGACTGCGCCACCCAGGCGCCCCATTATTTCAGTTTTAAATAGTATCAGTTGTACCCTTCTTCCCTCCCCATTCATATATATGAAATTATTTGCATCTTCGCCTTTGATTGTGCAGTGAGCCATCTATCAAAGTCCTATCCATCATTTACCCTTGGGCTTCATTTTTATTAAAATGTCCCTTCATTATCACTTTTAGCCCAGTATCTCTAATCTTCTATTCCCATAGCATATTATAGTTTCCAGAGCAACTTGAATTCTAAGTATATGCTCTCTTACATTTGTATTTTTCCTTTTCATGTTTAAGACCTACATTGAAGCTCATTGAGACAAAAGCTGGTATTTTACCCTTGTTATCTGCAGTCTTGAGCACAAAGAAGATGATTAATAAATAACTGGTGATTGTTGTAGAGCTTCAGGTGTGGAAAGATTTACTTTTTCAGCTTTATTGAGGTATAATTTCCATAAAAGTCAACCCCTTTAGTATATTATTTGATAAATTTGGTAATTGTATACAGTCATAAAACCAACACCAAAACCAACATATAGAACAGATCCATCAACAGTTCCTTGTGCCCTTTTGCTGTAGAGCCATACCCCTCCCCCATCCCTGGTGATCACTAATTGGCTTTATGTTACTAGGACTTGCCATTTCTAGAATTCATATAAATGTAGTCATTCACTGCATAATCTTTAGCATTTAATTTCTTTGATTTAGTTTTACATTTTTGAGATTAATTCATGTTATGTATATGAATTTTCATTTTTTATTCCTGATTATTATTATAAGTATGGACATAATTTGTCATTGATAGACATTTAGATTACTTCCTAGGTCTTTGTGTCAACATATATGTTCATTTTTCTTGAATAAATGCCTAGAAATGGGATTGCTGCACAGAATAAGTATATATTGAACTTTATAAAATACTCAGATTATGTTCCAAAGTAGCTGTATCATTTTTCATTCCCACCTACAGTTTTTTGAGAGATAGTTGCTTCGCATTCTTACACTTGGAATGGCAGTTTTTTTAATTTTAGCCATTTTAATGGGTGTGTAATGTATCTCACTGGGATTTTAATATGTATTTCTGATCACTAGTTTGGATGAACGTCTAATGTACTTATTGGCCATTCATATATCTGATTTTGTGAATATCTTTTCTAGTCTCTTACCCATTTTATAAATTAGATTACCTTTTTTTACTGAGATTTAGGAGTTCTATATATTTTGGATATGAGCCCTTCATCAGTTTCTACCAGTCTGGCTTTTCTTTTTTTTAACTGTGTTTTTGAAGGGCATTAGTTTTTTATTTTGATTAAGTCTACCATTTTTTCTTTATAAAAGAAATAGTTTTAACACTTATGTTGAGGTCTTTAATTCATTTTGAGTAAATTTTTGCCTATGGCATGCAGTAAAGGTTGAGGGTTTTTGTTTTCTAATTTTAGAAATTATAGCATTGATGTGAGTGACAGTATATTACTAGAGTCAGCTCTTGCAGTGATTTATAAGAAAATGAGGAGGCATGCCTGGCTGGCTCAGTTGGTACAGCATGCAAGTCTTGATCTCAGGTTTGTAAGTTTGAGCCCCATGCTGGTTGTAGAGATTACTTAAAAATAAAATCTTAAAAAAAAAAAAGAAAAAGAAAATGAGGATAAAAGTTTGAGAGGGACAGGACAGATCAGGATAACATTGAAGATTTGCAGCCAGTAGAAAACATTTATAAAAGAAAGGATTGAGAGTGAGGACAAGACAAGAGCTCTTCACAAAAGAAGAGCTTTGGTGCCAGTCATTTCAGGCACAATGATAGAAAGAAAACAAATGAAAACTGAAATTGATGGCAACGACAGTTTCTGTATCTAGAAATGATAGTATCAATAATCAAAACACTGCAGTAAATCAGATTTCAAGGCAAAAATGGCTGTTTTCTGGCCTATTTTACTTTTTTTCATTAATATGTACTTTGCTGTTTAGCCATGTGAAACTTAATTGCGACTAGATAAAAAGAGTACTATCTATAGTTACTATACGATTATAGATCAGTTCAGGTTAAAAGGCTCAAGTCTTCAAGGACATCTCTGCAGGTATAACACGTAGGGGCTTTTAAAAGTGAAATAGGGGGGCGCCTGGGTGGCGCAGTCAGTTAAGCGTCCGACTTCGGCCAGGTCACGATCTCGCGGTCCGTGAGTTCCAGCCCCGCGTCGGGCTCTGGGCTGATGGCTCAGAGCCTGGAGCCTGTTTCCGATTCTGTGTCTCCCTCTCTCTCTGCCCCTCCCCTGTTCATGCTCTGTCTCTCTCTGTCCCAAAAATAAATAAACGTTGAAAAAAAAAAAAAAATTTAAAAGTGAAATAGGATTATAGTTATGCTTGCACCATCCTTCGTCACCCACAGTTCCTCCTCCACATAGGCAACCACTTTCAACTCAATAAACTGGTGTTTATTCTCACATTTTATACATCTATTTTACCTACTTTTGATTTAACCATTTTACAATATTATCAGCTTGGGGATGCCTGGCTGGCTTAGTTGGTAGAGCACGCGACTCTTGATCTCGGGTTTGTAAGTTCAAGCCCCACTCTGGGTGTAGAGATTACTTAAAAATAAAATCTTTTGGGGTGCCTGGGTGGTTCAGTCAATTGTGGGTCCGACTTCGGCTCAGGTCATGATCTCCTGGTTCATGGGTTTGAGCCCTGCATCAGGCTCTGTGCTGATAGCTCAGAGCCTGGAGCCT